CATATCGCGGGCAAAGGGTTTCACTAAGCTTTTATTGGCGTCTATGGCCTCGTCAAACTAGACTTTCCTTCCACATGTTTGTTTTTTAACGCCGAACTCCAATTTCCCAGCTATTTGACGGTTGCCTGTAAATGGTCGAATCTGAACCAGACAATCCAGTATGAACAACCACAGGGGTATGATGACACGCTATCAACCAGGTCACCTTGGCTGACCACCCGATCCATTTTGTCGCCTCTGATTTCAGAGCGTCATACGACTCTTGCCCAGAAGTTGTTTGATCAAGGTTTAAAACAATCTAAACTCCCAGTAAAGCTTTTAAAACGTTTTATGGTAGAGAAGTGGAGGACATTTCAAATTTTGACGCAACAGTGACAAAAATGATGTCCAATGCAATTCCCTATTTTGACTTGTACCATATGTTTTCAGGTGAACAATTGACTTGACTTTGTATGTGTTTGTGACGGTGCCACCGGTGGAGCAGGATACGCTCACCTTTTCGCAAACACCTGGAATCATCACTTTATGATAGTGATTCATAAACACATGCTTATGATACAGTTGGCATCCTACAATCGACTCTGCTTTATGCTGAGATTTCTGTTGGATATGGAAAGGGTTTTGTCGCTTTATTTACAGCCAGCATATGTTGCAGGGGATTATTCCACACGGAGGTACAAGCATGTAGACTAAGCTGCAAATACTGTTTAATGCGGAGTCACACCAGACTCATTCATCAATTACGGTTCTGGTGTACATTGGAGTGGATGTCGTTTTAGTCACAATCAGAACTCTTGCAGCTGTACCATGGCGACGTGACAGTGATTGGACCATCTACCATCGGACGAGTGGGGTCTTTTGAATGCACAGGGTGTATGTACTGTACACTAGGGGTAGTGACAACACTGTAAGGACTTCCTTAGCTCCAACGAAAAAGTTCTAACAGTAACGTTCAACACTGCGATATCGGACGTACAACGCACTGTCAAAAGTTGACACCCAATGTTAATTATCTTGGGTACAATTTTATCATCTTCTTTGGAACAGATACAGGAAACACCGATAATCTGGAAGGTAGCGTCCTCATCGCAATCTTCCGGATTATCAAGTTTACGGATTAACGAAACCATGGATACGGGCACTGTCCCTTTGTATACTGAACCGCAAAAGAAACGTCACCCCAAGTAACATTGCATGAAAAGTTGTCATTTAAATATCTGGGTAATTTTTGTCAAAGTTTCTAAAATTTTACATTACCTTGACCGGAAAAACGAAATTTGATGATGAAAAAGCAAAGTAGATGACAATAAAACCGATCGGCCAAACGTATCACGGCAACGGCCATGGCAACCTGATACACGTGTCTTCCGTGCAAATTGAAATGCACATGCGTTCCCCTCATTTATTGCCCTAGAAAAATCCAACCAGATCGGATAACATTCATTCGTTATTGAATTGCTACCACATGCCAAGATTGACAAGAAAACAGCGACACCAAGCCCTTGGACTAATGCAAGCTGGACAAACGGCCCGGCAAGAAGTCAATGCATTTCAAGTCCACCTGAGGACCATATACAGGCTCCAGCAACGGCACCAGACCACCAACACTACAGATGACCGACCACGTAGTGGAAGACCAAGGTTCACCACCCGACGTCAAGATCGTCAGATTGTGCGACAGCATCTTCAAGATCGCTTTGTTACTGCTGCGGAATCTGCTCGACAGACCATGGGGACACTCGGCAATATTAAAGCTATATAACGGCGGTCTGTAAATAATCGAGTCTGGACCAGACAGTCCAGTGATTGATATCATGAGCATCGATCCACGCAATTTGGATACGATGATATGAATCAACCAAGCCAGCGAACCTGACCACTCGGTCCCGTAAGTCGCCTCTCACGAGGCAAATAGGTAACAAACACGGAACCATGAATTGATACGAGTCTTAGCATGTAATGAAGCCTGATGATGTTATAAATATTTTTGGTTGCATTTTGGAAGCCCCGAATAAAAACGCAACATAAAAAACAAATCGCCAAAACGCACCATTTCAATGAATATGTGGGTATCGTGCACCCATTTCTCGCGAAATCGAAAATGCTGTCACGAACTGTAGTGGGTATAAAACTGTGGCCGATTCTTGGACCTACCACTCCTTGGTCAACAATGCCACGCCTAACTCAAATTCAGAGAAACCAGGCTATCGGATGTTTGGAAGCTGGAGAGTCTGTCCAAGATGTTGCCTGTCATTTCAACGTTAACATAACCACAATTTACCGTCTCCTGCATCGATACAATGCTACACAGACCACAGATGACCTTCCTCGGAGCGGTCGTCCTAGGGTCACCACACCTCGACAAGATCGGCAGATTACCCGCCAACACCAGCGACATCCGTTCCTAACCTCAAGCAAAAGTGCTCGACAGACCATAGGAACACATAATCGACACATTAGCCGGGACACTGTGATCCGACGCCTCCGTTCCAACAACCTCAGATGTCGCCGACCAGCACGTCGTCCTGTTCTCGAACCACGGCATCGACAAGCACGACTTCAGTGGGCACAGGGTCATCGCAATTGGCGTCATCGTGGGTGGAGGCGTGTCATCTTCTCTGATGAAAGTCGCTTTTGTGTATCCCATGCAGACGGAAGAGTCAGAATTTGGCGGCGTCGAGGTGATCGTTTCGCTGACATAAAAGTTGTGGAAAGGGATCCATGGGGTGGACCTAGCGTCATGATATGGGCCGGGATTGGACTTTATGCGAGACTTGGACCCATGTGCTTTCTGAATGTTGGTCAAGGTCGGGGACATGGCATCCCTGCTCAGCGGTATATCGACCAAGTGATCAGACCCCACGTTGTTCTATTTTTTGCACAACATCAACAACACATTTTCCAGCAGGACAACGCTCGTCCCCATGTTGCCAGAGCTACCATGGCCTTTCTGCAACAACACAACATCCGTGTTCTACCGTGGCCAGCCCTCAGCCCTGATCTGAACCCCATCGAACACTTTTGGGATGAGGTTCAAAGGCGTCTGAACAATGTGCGCCCAGTCCCTACAACTGCCGATGAACTACGCACAGCTGCTCTGGATGTGTGCAGGAGGATCCCTAGGGCCTTCACAAATCGTCTGATCCACTCAATGTACAGGAGATGTGTGGCAGTGATCAATGCTAATGGTGGTCACACCAGGTATTGACTGACATTTTGGGTATTGACCTGAAACTGTGTAAGCCCTTGACATTTAAAAAACAATTATGTCATCTGCCTTTTAATCCATAAAACTGCCTTCAGTCAATTTTTTGTCAATCTTGCCCTATTGGCATTTCTTGTCTTTATTGTTGAAAATAAATAACATGTATACTGAATACTCGACTTGCGTTTCTTTTGCGTGTGAGTATATGTACACATAAACTAGCTAATTGGTTTATTGGTGTGTAAATCACATTATCGTTCTATCTGTATAGACACATACTAGTACTGTTCATGGGTAAACATGGATAAGGAGGTGTCTTCGCGAACACCTGGTGTACTCACTATTTGAAGTGATTCATGAACCCGACTCACGACATAGTCGGGATCGTACAGTTGTCTCTGCTACTGGCAGAGATTTCTTGTGAATATGGAAAGGGTTTGTGGTTATAACTTGTTATTATAAATTATTGAATGGGTTTTGTCACTTTTATTAACAAAGTGATCACGTATTTGATGTGGACGGAAGGCTGTCGTGGCATCTATTGTATTGTCATTGTATAGGTCAACAATGTAGACCGGATATATTCAACATAAGGAATATAAAGTTTCCAATAGCAGTTGACTACACACTTGTGTTTAGTTTAGTGATTTAACAAATGGTCGATATTGTAAACAAATAAGTGGTCGATATTGTGAACAAACCACGGGTCGATATTTTAAACAAACCAGACGTCCATATTTTGTAAACAAACCAAGGGTCGATATTATGAACAAACCCGGGGGACGATATTGCAAACATACCGGGGGACGATATTGTATACAAACAAGAGGTCGATATTGTGAACAAGTCAGGGGACGATATTGTAAACAAACCAAGGGTCGATATTATGAACAAACAATAGGTGGTGGCGATATTGTGAACTAACCGTAGGACGATATTGTAAACAAACCAGAGCTCGATATTATGAACAAACCAAGGGTCAATAGTTTGAACAGTAAAGACCATAATCGTCTTCATCACCATCATCGTAGTATGCAGTTAGTTAAAGAACTAGCATATTCTTGTCTGAGAAATATATTCACCGAAACATGAGGACTTTCTTTAACGACGTCGTCGACGATTATTTGTGTCGATGAATGCAAATATTTTCATGTCCTTTTTGTTTAAAAACTGAGGTTCGATTTACGGTTTAAGCTCATGTGTATTTTAACTCCTGCCAAAGGTCAATGTTCGTTTCCCTAAAACATTCAAAGCTCGGCCACAGTTTGTCCAATAAAACATGATAATAAATTCAGTATTATTTTGTGCCATCTTTGGCAAACACCTATTATCTACAAAAGACAAAACAATTCATGTAATAATTATAAGAATGGCAAGGCCAATGAAACATTGACATTGAACTAATTAATAACTGACACTTAACTAATTAATAACCGACACTGAGTTTGGAACATGCACCATGCTAGAACATTTTATGAAAGCATCAAGGTCGCTGATCAACTAAGATTGACGGAGTTGCTTCCCTTCTGGCGTTTATCAGGCGACTGGCGTGGCCAGAACTACCAAGTGTGAAGCTCTTGGTCGAACTACAGCCAGTAATACATGATTTGGACCTTCACATATGCAGTATAGGAAAGAATCACGACCTAGACACGTACATTATAGGAATAAATCACGACCTAGACACATGTAATATAGATATACATCACGACCTAGACACATGCACTATAAGAATGAATACGACCCAGATTCATGCAATGTAGTAATGAATCATCCAGGCATGTGCAATATAGGAATGAATCATGACCTGGACACACGCAACAAAGGAATGAATCATGACCTGGACACACACAACAAAGGACTGAATCATGATCTGGACACATGCAACAAAGGAATGAATCATGACCTGGACACATGCAACAAAGTAATTAATCATGACCTGGATACACGCAACAAAGGAATAAGTCACGATCTGGACACATGCAACAAAGGAATGAATCACGATCTGGACACATGCAACAAAGGAATGAATCATGACCTGGACACATGCAACAAAGGAATGAATCATGACCTGGGCACATGCATCAAAGGAATGAATCATGACCTGGACACATGCAACAAAGGAATGAATCACGATCTGGACACATGCAACAAGGTTATGAATCATGACCTGGACAAATGCAACAAAGGAATGAATCATGACCTGGACACATGCAACAAAGTAATGAATCATGACCTGGACACATTCATCAAAGGAATGAATCATGACCTGGACACATGCAACAAAGGAATGAATCACGATCTGGACACATGCAACAAAGGAATGAATCACGATCTGGACACATGCAACAAAGGAATGAATCATGACCTGGACACATGCAAAAAAGGAATGAATCATGACCTGGACACATGCATCAAAGGAATGTATCATGACCTGGACACATGCAACAAAGGAATGAATCACGATCTGGTCACATGCAACAAAGGAATGAATCATGACCTGGACACATGCAACAAAGTAGTGAATCATGACCTGGACACATGCAACAAAGGATTGAATCATGACCTGGACACGTGCAACAAAGGAGTGAATCATGACCTGGACACATGCAACAAAGGAATAAATCATGACTTGGACACATGCAATAAAGGAATGAATCATGGCCTGGACACATGCAATATAGAAATAAATGACATTATTAAGGTTCGGTATAATGATAAATTATCAAATATTAGAATTATAAGAATACATCCCAGATAAGGCATACACTACATGTGAACTTGTCCCAGGTAATGCGCACTATAGTTAAGAATACATCCCAGATAAGGCATACACTACATGTGAACACGTCCCAGATAATGCGCACTATAGTTAAGAATACAGTCCATATTAGGCACACAATATGAGAATGCATCCGCGATAAGGCGCACAAAATATAAGAATACGTAGCAGAGAAAGACGCATAAAACATAAGATTACATCCCAGACAATGCTCACATAACATAATAATACATCCCAGATAATGTGCAAAAACATAAGATTACATCACAGGATAGGTGGACAAAACATAAGAATACATCCGATTAGGCGCACATAACAATACATCCAAGATAATGAACACAAAATATTGCAAAACGTCACAGATTAGGCGCATAATACATTAGAATAGGGCGCACAAAATAAGAATACATCACAGATAACGCGCACAATATAAAAATACATCCCAGATTAGGCATGCAAAACATAAGAATACATCACAGATATAGGCACACAACATAAGAATATATCACAGATAGGGCACACAATATAAGAATACATCACTTATAGGGCGCACAATATAAGAATACATCAAAGATAGGGCGCACAATATAAGAATACATCACAGATAACGCGCACAATATAAGAATATATCACAGATAAGGCGCACAACATAAGAATACATCACAGATATAGGCATACAATATAAGAATACATCACAGATAAGGCGCATAATATAAGAATACATCACAGATAGGCTGCACAATATAAAAATACATGACAAATAGGGCACACAATATAAGAATACATCACAGATAAGGCGCACAATATAAGAATACATCACAGATAGGGCGCACAATAGAAGAATATATCACAGATAAGGCGCACAATATAAAAATACATCACAGATAAGGCGCACAATATAAAAATACATGACAGATAAGGCGCACAATATAAGAATATTTCACAGATAAGGCGCACAATATAAGAATACATGACAGATAGGGCACACAATATAAGTATACATCACAGATTAGGCACACGATATATGATACTATTCTAGAATCAAGCACACAATAACTTTGACTCTTCCAATTCGGGCACATTGTTTGACCGTGTTATCTAGATCCGTACTCAATAAAAGTCTTCATTGGGAAAAGGATTCTGAGAAATAATATCTTTCTCAAGCACTGTTATTTGTGTGTTTGTATAATAGTAACTCTGATTTTGAGTGTTTAGGTTACACACAACCAAATGTTTTCCCATAGACTGCTATAGTAACGTTATATTTTTTTTTTTAAAATGAATAAGCATTCAACAGCTATTACCTGTACGTGTGTTCACAGTTTGGCCTTAGAGCAGCAATAAAAAAATAAAAAATGACCAGATCCTTTTCCGAGTACCGGAAGCTAAACACACCACCCCCAGTTTCGCACCAAATGTCACCTACTTGAAAATAGCTGTGGTCACATTCAGCATAGTCATCATGTTGAAATAGACAGTACTAAATATAGAAAAAACATGGTCAGTTTTAATAACTGGATGGATGTACATTTGAAAGACATAAAAATCTTACAGAATATCCTCCAATCACAGCCTGCAGATATCTCTCGATCTGCACTGAAGGCTCCCTACAAAAACCGCACTGTCCAAACTGGTACTGATTTGGTGTAGTAGAACCTTTAGGCGGAAGAACAAACTAACACGAAAACAACAACCAACTCTTATACGTCCGCTTCGCTCCATCACACGCCACCGCCCACAACAAAATGTATACCCAAGTTGTATAAATTATCGAGGGTTAAACTACATGCATATTTATCTATGTTAACGGTTATTATAGGTGAGTTTGTTTTGTATTACCTGTGTCCGACATGAATACTGTCTGTTTGGTACTACTGTGTGTTATCGGCGCCGTGCCTCAACTGAAATGGGACATGGGTTACCTCCCTTCCGGTGATCACCACGATCAGCCTTGTGTTTCAGTTGCAAGACGTAGGAAGTGTATCGGGCATTTCTTTACAGTCAATATTGTGCAATACATGCATTCTTAACTAGGAAACTCGGGGAAAATGTATCCAAGTGAGTTGAGGTTACTCCTCCGTTGATGTTTTACTCAGATTCTGTACTCCTCTGTTGATGTTTTACTCCGATATGATACGCCTCGATTGATGTTTTACTCCGATTCGATATTTCTCCATTGATGTTATACTCCGATACGATACTCCTCCGTTGATGTTTTATTCTGATACGATACTCCTCTGTTGATGTTTTACTCCGATACGATACTCATGACTTGATGTTTTACTTTGATTCGATACCTTTCTGTTGATGTTTTACTTTGATTCGATACACCTCCGTTGATGTTTTACTGGGATTCAATACTCCTCTGCTGATGTTTTACTCCGATATGATACGCCTCGATTGATGTTTTACTCCGATTCGATATTCCTCCATTGATGTTATACTCCGAAACGATACTCCTCTGTTGATGTTTTACTCCAATACGATACTCCTCCGTTGATGTTTTACTCCGATACGATACTCCTCTGTTGATGTTTTACTCCGATACGATACTCCTCCGTTGATGTTTTACTCCGATACGATACTCCTCTGTTGATGTTTTACTCCGATACGATACTCCTCCGTTGATGTTTTACTTTGATTCGATAACCTTTCTGTTGATATTTTACTCCGATTCGATACGCCTCCGTTGATGTTTTACTCCGATTCGATATTCCTCCGTTGAGGTTTTACTGGGATTCAATACCTCTCTGCTGATGTTTTACTCCGATGTGATACGCCTCGATTGATGTTTTACTCCGATTCGATATTCCTCTGTTGAGGTTTTACTGGGATTCAATACCTTTCTGTTGATGTTTTACTCCGATACGATACTCCTCCGTCGATGTTTTACTCCGATACGATACTCCTCCGTTGATGTTTTACTCCGATACGATATTCCTCCGTTGATGTTTTACTCCAATACGATACTCCTCCGTTGATGTTTTCCTCCGATACGATACTCCTCTGCTGATGTTTTACTTTGACTCGATACCTTTCTGTTGATGTTTTACTCCAATTCGATACGCCTCTGTTGATGTTTTACTCCGATTCGATATTCCTCCGTTGATGTTTTACTGGGACTCAATACTCCTCTGCTGATGTTTTACTCCGATATGAAACGCCTCCGTTGGTGTTTTACTCCGATTCGATATTCCTCCATTGATGTTATACTCCGATACGATACTCCTGAGTTGACGTTTTACTTTGATTCGATACCTTTCTGTTGAAGTTTTACTCCAATTCGATACGCCTCTGTTGATGTTTTACTCCGATTCGATATTCCTCCGTTGATGTTTTACTGGGATTCAATACTCCTCTGCTGATGTTTTACTCCGATACGATACTCCTCCGTTGATGTTTTACTCCGATACGATACTCCTCCGTTGATGTTTTACTCCGATACGATACTCCTCCGTTGATGTTTTACTCTGATACTCCTCTGTTGATGTTTTACTCCGATACGATACTCCTGAGTTGATGTTTTACTTTGATTCGATACCTTTCTGTTGATGTTTTACTCCGATTCGATACGCCTCCGTTTATGTTTTACTGGGATTCAATACTCCTCTGCTGATGTTTTACTCCGATATGATACGCTTCCGTTGATGTTTTACTCCGATTCGATATTCCTCCATTGATGTTTTACTCCGATACGATACTCCTCCGTTGATGTTTTACTCCGATACGATACTCCTCTGTTGATGTTTTACTCTGATACGATACTACTCCGTTGATGTTTTACTTCGATACGATACTCATGACTTGATGTTTTACTCCGATACGATACTCCTGAGTTGATGTTTTACTGGGATTCAACACTTCTCTGCTGATGTTTTACTCCGATATGATACGCCTCCGTTGATGTTTTACTTTGTTTCGATACTCCTCCGTTGATGTTTTACCCCGATTTGATACGCCTCCTTTGGTGTTTTATTCCGATTCGATACTCCTCCATTGATATTATAATCCGATACGATACTCCTCCGTTGATGTTTTACACTGATATGATACTCCTGAGTTGATGTTTTACTTTGATTCGATACCTTTCTGTTGATGTTTAACTCCGATTCGATACCCCTCCGTTGAAGTTTTACTCCGATTTGATACTCCTCCGTTAATGTTTAAATTTGATTTGATACTTATTCGTTTATGTTGTACTGGAGTTCGTTACCTCCCATTTGATGTTTTACTCCGATTCGATACTCCTCCGTTAACGTTAATGAGGTATGTGAATCCTCGTCCAGAAAGTGACGCGCGAGTACATGAAACACTTTCAAAGCGCCCCTAAAATCCCCACCACCCCCGCTTCCTCCTGAAGGCGCCACACACATCCACGGGCAGAGGGTAAAGCATGTGAGCGCTTTATCCTTCCATCCACTGACAACATGAGAGAGAGAATATGAATTTGAATATTATTCCTCATGGTGTGTGTGTGTGTGTGTGAGAGAGAGAGAGAGAGAGAGAGAGAGAGAGAGAGAGAGAGAGAGAGAGACGGAGTGGAGATAGAGAAGTCTGGATAAGAGTGTGAGAGAGGGGAGGGAGAGAGTACCTATTTCCACCCACAGATGACGGAGCACGTGACAACATTCTACACTGTGCGAGATACACCAAACCACAAGGCACAGCAAGTTGGGTACATGTACAAGGCATTCAAATCAAACTCGAAAAAACCCATTTTCGACTACTTACAAACAGGAAAAGAATAACAAACACACTCTCGTCCATGTGAATATCTTCTCTAGGGAATTTATTGCGACATTTCCGGGAAAGGTCAATTAAGATTGGGCTTTGATTTCTTTGACAGAGAAATAGACTCGCGAAACCTGATGACATCACCCCCTCCCCATCAACGAGTGTAATCCACTATATGGAAAACGTTCTCTGCAAGTTCAAATACTTGGAAGGCTCCCGTCGTCGACCGAGCGCAGAGCTAGGGT